TTGAGTTGACAAATCAGGAGCGAAGATTACAATGTGGCGCCGGAGATTTAGTACGACCGGCAATGATTTCGGCCAATTGACGATGAAGAAATGGGACGCGGTGGTGATCGGCGGTGGTCATAACGGCTTGACCGCCGCAGCTTACCTGGCTCGCGGTGGTCTCTCCGTCGCTGTTCTCGAGCGCCGTCATGTCATCGGTGGAGCTGCAGTTACGGAGGAAATCGTTCCCGGATTCAAATTCTCACGATGCAGTTACCTCCAGAGCTTGCTTCGTCCCTGTATCATTAGGTTTCACTCTAAACCGTTCGATTAAACCTCATTTGATTCTGTTCGATTTTTGTTTCGTCGTCTCTGATTTCGGATTGCTTGATATTATTTGGATGATTTCGAATTTTGGAATTTATGCGTTTGCTGATTTTTTTATTGAAAGAGATTTGGAGTTGGGTAAACACGGCTTGAAGCTTCTGAAGAGAAGTCCTTCGTCGTTTACGCCTTGTTTGGATGGACGTTATCTTCTTCTGGGACCAGATCAAGAACTCAATCATTCTGAGATTTCCAAGTTCTCTAAACATGATGCTGAGGCTTATCCAAGGTGATTTATTTTTTGCTCAAATATTTGCTACTTTGGGTAAATTATTCTGTATTCATATCAACAATGGTTAGTTGCTTAGTATAGTGTTCTTGGCTTTTTTTTTTTTTATGGTTTATAGATATGAGAAGCAGCTAGAGAGGTTCTGTGGATTTATGGATCCTCTTTTGGATGCAACCCCTCCAGAATCTCTGCAAGATGTCTCTTCTTTTACTGATAAGTTGAGCAACAAAATGTACAATTCTGCTTTCTGGGCTCGTTGTCTCCGGCAAGCAGCTTCTTTGGGACAGAAAGATATGGTGTATGTCTGTATGGTCTCCTTTTCTAAAGATTTAACCTGATTTTGTGTGTTACCCATTTGGTAATCCGAATGCTTTTTAATGCAGTAAACCTTTTTTTAATGTTGTGAAGGGACTTCATGGATCTTTTATTGTCTCCAGCTTCAAAAGTTTTGAACAACTGGTTTGAGGTGGTTGTCTGATCTTAGCACTTGTTGGTCTTAGCAAGTAATATTACCAAGTAGTAGCTGCCTCAGTCTCTGAGAAATTGATGTTGCATATTTTGTGTTGGCCTTATGCTTGTGCAGTCTGATGTCCTCAAGGCGACTCTTGCTACAGATGCCGTGATTGGATCTACGGTAATTGACATTCCTAATATCTTGAGCTTTTGAAGTTCGAAGAATTCTTTAACTCCTGTTGTATTGTGATGTATTATTAATTTAATGGAATGGAAAGGTGAGAGATGCTTCTGTATGTTCAGCGAACTTATCATAGTATATTGGAGATTTGATGTAGTGCTCTGAACATTGATTCACAGGCCAGTGTCCATACTCCTGGAAGTGGATATGTCCTGCTACATCATGTGATGGGAGAAACAGATGGAGAGCACGGCGTTTGGTCGTACGTATCTGAATTATTGAATTATCTTTTCCTCTAGCTGACTGGCAATTTAGAAATTGCGGTGTATGTTTTACATAAGTTGATGCATAAGCAGTTGAAGATGATATCCTGAGTAGATGATAAGAACTAATTTGCAGTTACGTCGAAGGTGGGATGGGCTCTGTCTCCATGGCTATAGCCAATGCTGCAAAAGAAGCTGGCACTCAGATTTTCACAAACGTAGAGGTATTTGTTTTCAAGATCATTTTAAGGGCATCCGTTGTTCCTGCATTATGCAGAACAGTGGAGTTCTAGTTATCATCTCTCTAACCTGAAAGTAAAGCTGCTTAGTACATTCAAAATTGTTCTCCAGGTTTCTGAAGTACTGGCTGAGGATTCTAGCGTGGTGAAAGGGGTTAGTGTTTTCTTCATAATTCCTGGATGAAGTGAAAACTTGAATCAAACTTATCTGACATTCGCTGGTATAAGGTTTTGCTTGCTGATGGTACACGGGTGGAGTCATCTTTTATATTGTCTAATGCAACACCTTACAGAACTTTCGTGGTAACTCTTGATTTCATCATTCTCGTCTACTTGTAAAACACCCAGTTTAGGTCACTCTACATTGAGTTCTTTCTGTTTCGGATAACAGGAGCTGGTTCCGACCAATGTTCTTCCTGAAAAATTTGTCGATGCTATTAAGAACTCAGATTACAGCTCGGTAAGCAATTCATTTCAAGTCCCTCATTCTCTTGATCGAGGGGATATAGATTTCTGCGGAAACCAAATATTTAATTACTCCATCTAGCTAAATATTTGGTGATTGGTTGTTTAATTGCTGTGAGCAGGCAACTACCAAAATAAACTTGGCCGTTGACAAGTTACCGCAGTTCCAGTGCTGCAACACAAAACATTCAAGTCCAGGTCCAGAGCATTTCGGCACTATACATATTGGTGCAGAGAGGTACATCTCGTGCTAATTTTATCTTGATTTTTGTATCTCCAAGTACAAATGAAAACGCCAATGTCTCTGTTCTATCTCTGGCTCTCACAGCATGGACGAGGTTCACTCAGCATGTCACGATGCTGAAAACGGCTTACCATCGAGAAGACCCGTGATCGAAATGACTATTCCATCTGCGGTAGACAATACCATTTCTCCTCCAGGCACACATATTCTCCCCTACCAGAAAGACTTGCTTTACTTAGAAATCCTTTTTGGTTATCTTTAGGATTAGGATGCATTTTTTATCTAAACGTGATTTTGTATGTAGGGAAGCATGTAATCAACTTGTTCATCCAATACACTCCTTACAAGCCATCAAATGGAAGCTGGGAAGATCCTACTTACCGAGTGAGTATACACTTATCTAACGTCATTACTGTTACTCAAATTTCCAGTCCTTAAAACTTATAAAGCATACCAATCCAATCCGGGTTTACTGTTTGATTGTGTCAAACCAGGAAGCATATGCACAAAGATGTTTCAAATTGATTGATGAATATGCACCTGGGTTTAGCTCATCCGTGATTAGCTACGACATGTTGACTCCTCCCGACCTTGAACGGGATATTGGTCTAACAGGTATATATACGTAAATTGTGTAGAATAAAAAGATCCTAATACACGGATTTGGCCAAACCATATTGACATATCGCCGCGTATATGTATTCTGCAGGTGGAAATATCTTTCACGGGGCCATGGGATTAGACTCTCTCTTCTTGATGCGGCCGGTGAAAGGATGGTACTCAGACTCTCACAACTCTGAAACAATCGTTACGACACTTTTTTTTTATTTGAATCTTATAAAAACATGTATGAAAATGTGACACAGGTCGAATTACAGGAGCCCTTTAAAAGGTCTCTACTTGTGCGGAAGCGGAGCCCATCCTGGAGGCGGAGTTATGGGTGCACCAGGCAGAAACGCAGCTCATGTTGTTCTTCAAGACTTCAAAAGAATCGAGCGAAAATAATGCGAAGACTTACATTGTTAACTCTGTACGTGTAATGTGTTAGATGTTTCTTTATAACCACACTCCTCCGGACCCTCCTCTTAGTTCAGAGGCTCTCATGTCTCAGTTGCGTGGACAGAGGCAGTATCAACCAATAAGAAGCCTCCACGTGTAACTTTACCTAAAAATTGACCTAAAACTGAAAAAAAAATTCAACGAATATATGGAAAGTGGTAGTTACAAGCGAGCGACAACATCGGCGCCGCAAAGAGAAAACTCAGCCTCGATGTTAACTCTTCCTATCCGAGACGACGTCTCGGAGGAAAGCGACATAGACGAAGCCAAAATGCTCCTCATCGGGGAGAACGGAGTCGACGACGAAGGCGAGAGTTTATCTCCTCTACGCGACGGTGCACCGGAGCTCCACCACTACAACCTCCTCTCGATCGAGTCAACGGTCACGATTCGTCAACTCACATCACAAGGTCTCTCCTTCCAGCTCTGGCCCGCCGCTTCAACATTCGTCACATTGCTCGATAATTACCGCCGTAACCCTAGCAACAGCCCACTCGCCGCCACACTCTCCTCGCTAAAATCCAACGGTCCTGATTCGTCGTCTCCATCGATAAACATACTCGAGCTCGGGTCTGGAACAGGAATCGTCGGAATCGCCGCGGCAATCACTCTAGCCGCTAACGTCACCGTGACGGATCTCCCACACGTCCTCGGCAATCTCAGCTTCAACGCAGACGCAAACGCTGAAATCGTGGCGAGATTCGGCGGTCAAGTCCACGTGGCACCGCTAAGATGGGGTGAAGCTGATGACGTGGATGTTCTAGGTCAGAACTTTGACTTGATTCTAGCGTCTGACGTGGTTTACGACGACCAACTCTACGAGCCTCTCCTCGAAACGCTGCGTTTGATGATTGCGACGATGCAATTAACTGGGAAGAGATTAGTATTCGTAATGGCTCATCTAAGGAGATGGAAGAAAGAATCTTTCTTCTTCAAGAAAGCTCGAAAGCTTTTCGATGTTGATGTTATACATTCTGATGTTCCTCAACAAGGTTCTAGAATCGGTGTTGTTGTTCACCGTTTTACCGCGAAACAGCCGAATCAAAACGGTCGGATTGTTTCGTGTTAACTGTTTAAACCAATATTCTAAAAAGCGTTCTAGGCGAACGCCTACCAACAAGGTTTTAGTGCTTTCTTGAACATTGGTTTAAACAGTTGCATTTTCAGGATTAGTTTCCTTAAATAAAATTTTCTTAAAATGTCTGTCAATTTATTCAAGTGTTATCAAAATTGTTATGGATCCATACTGAAATTTAAGGCTATGCGTAGTCTACGTAAAATCCAAAAGACAATTCAAAGAAGCAGCCTCTGAAGAAGGGAAACTCTTGTGCCCATATCTTTAGATTCCGACATTAATTTTTGCCTCTTTTGGAGGGTTTTCTTTTGTTTTGTCACTATCAACGATTTCGTTGACCGTTTGACTTTGATACTACTACACATACCAAATGGCTTGTTTATGAACTTATGGTTACTAAAGAAAAAACTGATGTTAGTATAATTAATTGATAATATTCTGTTTTCTGCATATGACTGACGTAGGCAAAATAATTACGAAGAGAAACGTAAATGTGAACTTCTGTTTGATGGTGTGAATGGATTGGAGTGGAGACGGTGTGAGGTGAGTATGAAACCATTGTTTTGGCTTCATAACTTTATAAGCCAACGTCAATCTAATGATTTTTCTTCTAACACGTGAGTGAGATCATAAGGAATAAGAACAATAAAAAGTAAGAAAACTTGAGTGACTTTTGAAGTTTTGTTTTGGCAAAGTCTTCACTTACTTTGATTGCATTTTTTGTCGTATGCTATTAGTACTACTAGATGAAGTCGAAGATATTGCATCCATGTTACAAAAGAAAAAAAACACTAAAGCCCAAAAGAATGTTTTGGAAATTAGTCAATTTTCTGATTTGGTTGTTTTATACTAATAAAAAGCACGACTAGATATCCCAAGAAGTCACATATTTTACATCTTTTGTAAACTACAAAAAAATAAAGTTAAAAACTTATACTAGTAAGAGATATGAAAATTGAAAAACATGAAAAGAGGTGTTAGTATCCAATAAATTTCAAAGAGGGGTCTACAAACAAATATAATAAACACGAGCAACCATAATGTTTGCTTCCACATTCAAAATTTCGAAAGGCCGATTCATTATTATTTTTGTTTGTTTGGTTTTAGTCTTTTAGACTTTGCATGAACAATGCATTGAAAGTTGCACATACTTTATCTTTTTCTCTTGCTACACCCTTTACATCTGTAAATATTGCAATAAATTTCATACTCCCTCCGTTCCAATTTACTTGATGTTTTTAAGTTTATTCTGTGTTTCAATATAGTTGATGTTTTGATATTTTTTATGTGAAAAAATAATTTTAAAATCTGATTAAAAAAAACTCAAAACCAGATACTATTAAATGACAATCCTTTTTCCAAAAGTTAACTACACTTTACGATATAGTCAACCAATTTAGTTTTTCTTTCAATTTAATGCTCAAATTTACTACATCATTCAATTACAATTTGTTTCTTCTCAAACTTGCTATAAAACCAATAGTAACATACAGCTTTCGTTTTTTACCAACCTTTTTTTTATTCAAAACTTAAATAGATCAAAAAGAAAAAATGAAAGA